GTGCAATCACCAAGTTGGCGAGCCTCGCCGTAAGGGGCTACTGACTAGCTATTGTCGCTCCACATAGGATAGACAGTAAGACGGCAAATTCCAAAGTGGTCAATGAAGTTGGGTTCACAATCGTAGCTGGCTAAGGGTCTCGAACGGGCCCTCTAGTAAGACGCATTCCACTCGGCTACATCCCAATTCGTCTCGACAATTGTATGCAAAGTGGTGTGAGCCAGCAAACGTCCAGGATTCAAATCACAGTTCTCAGACATCCGAGAAACTTGAAGCCCACTTACCATTGTTTTCACTGGACAACACTTCCCCCATGGGTTACTCCATCAAGGAATAGGCTTTGGCCATCTGCTTAATGATGGCGGAGGACCCCTAACAGTTCTTGAACGCCACCGCGACGTCTTTGTGGATGGTGACCTCTGGCTTCCAGGAGTTCTCGAAGTCTTGATGGCCACGCCACTTGATGAGAATTTTATGACATTTTGTCGCTGCCACGTAGCGAGCATCCAGGATGGCCTCCACCCCGTAACCCTACGTGAAGTTTGGGATATGTTTGGTATTTTTTTTTTTAATCATCCAGATTTACGTAGAATTTTAACTGATTATGGTTTTGAAGGTCATCCTTTACGTAAAGATTTTCCTTTAAGTGGTTATTTAGAAGTTTATTATAATGAATTAAAAAAAAGAGTAGTTTATGAGCCTATACAATTATCTCAAAAATATAGATTATTTGAGTTTAATACACCTTGGAATAAAAAATAATAATTAAATTAATATGTTAATTGTTATTAAGTAATTATTAAAATAAAGTGGTTAGTTATGGCCCACATGCTCCCTGAAATCTTCGGACAGGTGTAGGCCCTTGTCAGCATAAAGCTTGAGGCGGCTGGCATGAGCTTCTCTTCGTCGCCAGTGATGACATTCTTGACGTCGTAGAGCGAACTGCTGTTCACAACCGTCATCACAGCTGGCTCACACCAGGTGGTCCTCAACTTGGCACGATGGTGCTGCCAGACGTCTTGGTAGAGCACATAATCACCCACAACAACTGGGACATCTTGACACCATGCTTCTGGACATGTCTTGACACCACGCTTCTTGCCATGTGTCTTTCGCGCTCGATCGCGCTTCAATGTATTCGTCACATTCTTCTCCTTGTGCATCGCGTCCAGGGCGGTACACGCATTGCTGATGTTGGCACGCTGCATCGACTCAATCTCAGCCAGGGTAACTGCCTTGAGGGAGCCAGGCAAAGAGATCGTGTCCATGGGTGACATGGCTGGCCGGCCAGACATTGCGGTGACAGGTGCCACACCACCTAGAGATGGGGACGGTAGCTGATTCATGATGAGCATGATGACCAGGTGGATCTCGTTCCACTGAGTTGTCGCCATGCGCCAGTCACTGAGATTTGCCCGAAACAGACGCAACAGCTAACACATCACTACCTCGACCGCCCCATTCGCCCACGGACAGCGGGCAGTGGTGAAGTGATGCACCCATTCATAGCACATACCAAACACCGCAAACCATTGAAGCAAACATTTCTTGGTGAACACTACCGAGACTTCCTTAGAAGGAAACAGCCTCACCAGTTTTCTGGTATTGCACTTGATCACAAAGAGGTACAGATTGTACTTGTCACCCGTCGTGGAGTCTCCCATGAAGAGGCGATCCCAGTGCAACAAATCAAATGGCTGGGTAGAGTGCAGAGCTTCCCCCAATGGTCGCGGCGCGCCAAAGGACACTGGCACAATGCTGGCAGCGACACACGAAGAACTGCACGTCCTTCTCCATGGTGCTCCACCAACAGAAAGCCACCAAATTCTCAAGGGTATGACTGGCACCTCGATGACCAGCCAAACTCACACGGGCACACACACATAAGCGTAGCTGTAGTTTGCTAACCTCGTCTGGCACCGAAAACACCTGGTTAACCAACAGTAGTGAACATGTCTCGCCGGAGTCGAGTTGGACTTGATGCTCCGCCGGCTGGCTAGAGTCCAGAGATAGAGCAACCAGGCTATCAGTGTTCCCATGTTCTCTTTGGCTGGTTCGAATGACCACCAAAGTCGGCCACTCAAAGGAACTGCTTCGCAAAGGAGACACCATCAATGGCTCTCGCCTGATGGCACAAATGAACCTCAGGGAGGACCCCCAGCGCGAGAGCAGGGCAGCCCACACGTTCGTCTCCCCAGGGGTGCCGCGAATCTTGTAGCCAATCAACAAAAGGGCCCAGCGTTCCAACTTCTAGGCGGTGTGCTGTGTTACAGAGGCCACCACAGCTGTCGGGTTAAAAATGAACTTGAGATTGCGATGGTCAGTGTAGAGAGTGAACCCAGCTGCAGGATGCAACAGGTAGTCAGCCCTGATCAGTACTTCCACGATGGCATAGGCTTCCTTCCCCACAATGGCCCAGCGTCCAGCGGATCCGCGAATATCCCACTCAGGAACATGAGTGGTTCATGAGATTGAGTTCCTATGTCGCTCCAGCTGGTTAGGTGTGACTTGAGTAATGATAGCACCCCAGTGCTCTTCCGAGGCGTCGGCGAACATATAGAGTCTCATATCTGGGTTGGGATGGCTGAGTTCCACCACTTTGGCTAAAGCCTTCTTGATACCTTCCAACGCGGCAGCATGAGCCTCATTCCAGCCGAGATCAACCAGCAGCACAGTCGCCACCAACTGCTTGGTACGCTTCTCATCAACAGCAGCAAACACACGTTCCAGCACAGCCGACAGGTCTCGTATTCGCATTTAGAAACCAGGGATGGACATACGCATCCGGTTAAGTGCAAACAAATACTACTGGAGGTCAGTACCTGTCTTGAACTTTGGCAATTGTTGCAAAGCTTCCACTCGCGCTGGATCATGCTTCATACCCGTCCTGATGATGATGCAGCCACGCCACTTGGCCTCCTTCGCGTAGAATTGGCACTTTTCGGGTGCAGCTTCAGACCACGCTTGGCACAGACTTCCAGCACTTCAGCTAGAGCCAAAAGCAGGCCAGATGGCGTTTTGTGGTAGCCCAGAAGGTCATCAAGCCCATCCAACAAACACCTGTACAGCTGCTCAGCAAACATGGCTTGAACGGTGCACGGCAGTAGGCCACACTGTCACTACCACCTTGCATGACGCGGTTGGGCGTGTAGACACAGGTGTCCGTCAGGAAAGAGAACATCTCTTGGTAGCTCCTGTCCAAGGAGAATTGCCAGTAGCCTTTGATGAAGTCCAGCATGAAAAGCACGTGGCACCACGCAAAACGGTCTACAACAATTTCCAACATGGGCATTGGCCAGGCAATCTGCTCCGTCTGGCTGTTGACAGGGCACCCACCGTCATACGGAACTCGTCCTTCGTATGGGGCTTGTGTACGATCAAAGGTGCACACGCCCATGGGCTGGTAGAGTTTCGATGGATGAAACCAGCCTTCTCCAGCTCGTCCACATGCTTCTGCATGAACTCCCGTTGAGGGAGAGAGTAGTGTCTCGCCTTGCAGCAAACAAGCTTGGAGACCTTGGTGAGGTGTACCTGTAAAGGGGGGGCATGTCCACTGGTGGATCATGGCCAAGCGTAAGCTGTAACACGTCCACATACTTGGCCAAGAGCTTGGACAGACTCAGGGCATACTCAGTGCCCACAGCTTGCTGCCATGGCTCCAGCCGCCTTGGCATCTAAAGTAGTCTGAACTTTGGCTTGTTCCACAGCGCGGTCCACAGGTGTCATGTCAGGGAGACATTCGGCTAGCTCCATGGGCACCAGAGCCTCTTCTTCATCGACCAGGTCATCCACCAGCTCATGCATGGTCGCCAACATGACTTTCTTTTCCACCCCACTGGTAGACTCCACGTTTTCCATGTCATCCTCGCTGCTTACCGAGGCTGCATCACGTAGCATGGACTGTGGGTCGTAGCCAAGCTTGTACTTTATTGGACGGCTCAGCAGGATGTCACCAACACCGGTCGGCAACACCAATTATATCTTTATCAACACGCTTCATGGGCAGGTCATCAATAGATAGCCAGCAATTGACGTTGGCTAGTACCAAAATGGACCGACATCTGCCTCGAACTTGAACGTCAGCTTGACTTCCTGGGTTACTGTGTGGCTTGGACCGACCTGGGGAACTTCATTATCTCCAATTTGATGAGCTTTAACTTGTCAATCAATAAATATTATTTTACAAAACCTAAAATAGCAGTTCTCAACTGAAACAGGTGGCAATTCTGTCACCTCCATGTAACGTCTTGGAGCCTCTTGAGTGTCTTTGGCGGAATCACACTTTGGTCCTCTACACTGTCAAACGAGGCGCCAATCTCTACCACTTCGTTGGCGGTACACACGATTCTCGCAGCGTACGGAACAGCCGTCGTTTCATTCGGGCCAACTGTATTCACTTCCTTAGCAATAGTGACAGCCTTTCCAAGCTTCCCTTCCTTCTTGGTTTCGGCCCGTATGGCCTTGGATCGGTCCATCAGCAAGCGAGCCTCACCAGTTGCCACTTTCGGACACTTGAACTCATTGTGGTCGGTGCTCAGATACAGGGAACGATGGAAAAATGTCCCCAGTGGTACTTGGTACTTCACCGTATTTTTGTTATTTTAATATTGTCGCACTATTCAATCTGCAAGTCGAGGTTGTAGTATTTTTAGCCAATGGGTGACAAGTACTTCTACGACCTATTACATGACATCATGCATGATTTATCTTGGATATACTAACAATTCAATGCATGAACCTGCTTACTTTACCCTCCTTGAAACAATAAGTCGCAATAATAATTCAATCGAATCTATTATGTCATACAAACCGTCCTACATTGGAACATTCAATACTACAACAACATCACAAAAACCAAGAAATATAGGTCACGCCGTAGAGCTCCCGCTCGAAGCCCGTGTGATACAGGGTTCATTCCATGACGTGGATGTACGTTTTGCCGTATAGTCAATGTGCATTGAATCCTTGCATGTCCGTTGTGGTATCCTAATGGGTCTTACCTGTCGCGAGGTCACAATAAACAGTTATTCACTGACGTTCAACATATTATGTCTTCCAAAACTACTCATGTCATATACCAGGAACGCAATGACATTTTATCGTCATTTTGGGGGCGTCAGAATTATTTTGACTGGTTCCTCGAAAATTACTGGTTGGTTCAAAAATCCTGCTAAACCGCGTCTTTCAAATCAACGTCGAGCCATGGCCTACACCAGATAAACCAACGTCCTGCGCAAGAGGTACATCGAGGGATTCGATCCAAGCACGATGTCATCCAGAGGATACGCCAAGGCTCAAAACATCGACTGGAAAACCTGGCGCCTGGTTGAGCCATCATGAACAAACTATGCAACGCAAAGAAATACACGCTGGGTGGCCAAGGTCGCCATGATACCCTTCCATTTAAATCGGAACTGCTACAGTTTATGGAGATACGGTCCGCGAAGAGGAGCACTAACTGATACATGGTCATCTGATCACATTCATGAAGAACCACCACGTGGATTGGCTTGAAGAATACTTGACAACTAAAAAAAATCCGAAAGTCGAGCTTACCACAGCCTGCTTCGACTGTGCCAACGATTCTCAGCCCCCTACCGGTTTTCGCAGCAAGGTTGACAAGAGCCAAAAGCACTCCGACAGGATTACAGCCGTTCTCTCCGTGCGTTCCAATGGTGAAAAGCTACCAATTCTTTTCATCCTAAAGGGCAAGCCAGGTCGGCCGATCGTTACCTTGGAAGTGCCGACATTTCCACCTGGTCAATTTACGTCGTGCAAGAGAAAGCGTGGATGGATACAAGAGTATGGGAACTGTATCTGACTGAGCTGCTCAAGTTCGAAATTGATGGGCCTTCTGTGATTTTGGCTCGCAATCTTGACTGTTATGTGTCTGTGGCGTCGCATGATATGGTGTCGTCTGAATTGTTTAGCGTCTTGGAACCATTGCCCAAGAATTCGACAAGTGTTCTCCAACCGTTGGATGTTGGTGTCATGGGGCCGTTGAAGAGCAAGCTTCGTTACAAGTGGCTTCACGAAAAGCCGGTTGTGTCTGCAGCTGAAAAACGCATGGCTATGGTTAAGCGCACTATTGAAGCCTGGGAGGACATGCCATGTGAAACCATCACTCGCTCATTCGAAAATGCGTTGCCACGGACTCTTGTAGTGTAGCTTGTCACTTGAAAAAATATTCCATTTTCGAAAATATTTTTGGTTTTCAGAAATATTGTAGTATTTGTTGCCAGTCGTCGTGATCGTAGCTGAGCGTTAAATAATCCATTTTCTACCAATCATCATGGATATGGCACCACAATTCAAAAACAGCTTGAATAAAAATACTGTCAATTCTTGTCGAGTGTAGTTTTATTCCCCATACAAATTTCAAGATATTTATCTAGTACAGTACGTGCCACATGAATAGACCCACCCTCTCTTCATGGTCGTCCTTGACCCTGGTCATTTCTGTCGATACTCTGTTCATTATAAAGGATCGATATGACAGTACGAGCATGTCAGAAAACAATTTGGGCGAAGCGAATGCAATGCATATTTAGATTGCTGAGGTGTGTGGTGTGGCCTTGCGCCAGTAGAATAGACTTACTGCGCTATACAATGCAAAA